CGACAACGACTCGCCCGGGAGGCGGCTATGGAGTTGGAGCGGGCCGAGTCAGGAGGCGGAAGAAAAGGTTGCCAAGCCGGCGGCTTCGCTACTCCCGTGGGAGGAGTTACGTGAGTCAACTAGACTACCTTGTGAAAGTTTTCTTGCTTCGAGTTGAAGAGTTAACGCTCAAGTGTGTAGCTGAGTGGCAACAGTGAGTTTGTTCCCTCGTGGTATACTGGACCAAGCAACTGATTGAGTCAAGGTGTGGGAGCGATCATATCAAGACCGGATATCGGTGAGTATGTCTGAACAAGGCTGATCTTTTCTTGATGAATTGTTCTAATGGAGAATGAGATAGACCAGCTTGTGGCTCCGTTGCAGGCTGTTTCGCCAGTTGGACCTATGCGCATAATGAGTCGGGTGAGTTGAAAGTACAGCATCAGGCTGGTGAAATATTACAATCTGATAGCGAGAACAGTCAACATCTACTCTCACGTGATAGGAGCCATAATCTTCGTTCTGCTGCCATTCTACGTCTTCAGCGATGGAATACCAGCCAGATGGAGCATCGCCTCAACCGCAGACGTAGTAGTCTGTACAGCCTACGCTGTCGGGGTGACAACATGTTTCGTCCTTTCCACGGCGTAAGTTCAGTTTCGTTTTCAAATTTCCTAGTTTCGTCCTTTGTCTTCCGACATGTTCAGAAAGGTACAAAGCTGACCGCCCCCTCAAGCTTCCACACCCTCATGTCCCACAGCGAATCCATGTACCTCTCGGGCATCAAAGCCGACTTCCACGGCGTCCTCGCCCTAATGTGGTCCTCCGTCTTCCCCCTAGCGCACAACGTGTTCCCCTGCTCTCCGGCCACGCGGGACGCCTACGTCGGTCTGACGGGCCTGCTGGCCGCCCTCTGCGCCGCGGCGACGGCGAGGCCGGATCTGGGCGCCGTGGACTTGGGACACCACCGCGCCGCGTTGTTCGCTGCGTTTGGGCTCGCGGCGTTTGTGGCGCCTATCGGGCATGGGGTGGTGCTGGCTGCGGATGGTGGACGAGAGGTGTGGGATAAGGTTGGTGGGTGGTGGGTTTTGGGGACGGCGGGGTGGAATTGTGTTGCTGTTTTGGTGTATTGGGCCAAGGTGAGTTGTCATTGCTCTTGTGTTTACGTGACTTCTGACTTCGTGTTTCTTGCGGGGAGTGTGGTCGTTGAACTTGATGCGTGGGCTACGGGAGACTTTGCTAATTGTTCTTGGGGCAGTTTCCGGAGAGATGGTTCCCGAGGACGTTTGACTTACTTGGGGCCAGTCATCAGTTGATGCATATCTTCGTAGGTTGAGATCTTCTCCTTTGAAGTTGCTCAGGTATAATACCGCTCGAGAGACGTACTGATATTCTTAGGTTTTGGCTGCTGCTCTTTCGTATGCAAAGGCCGTTGTGGTGGCTTTCGACTATAGACATGCGCAGGAGCTCGTGTGCTGAAGGTTGAGTTTCGGGCATACAGACATGCTGGACGGCTTGGAGAGACATACGAGAGGGCGAGCTGTCATCGAAGGGCGCTGTGCTCGTCGAAGAGGAAGAGTCAAAGATATATACCATATATACCATACTGTAGACTGGCATCATACTTTGATGGTCAGATCGATCTATAGAAGAGCTCAGAATAAGACGAAGTCTAAATAGGAATCTATGTATCCAATAGAAATAATGCTTCCAAAGATTTTACATCCAGTGGTACCTCTCAAACAACACCGATTTTCCACGAGCTGGATTACTGTCCACCGACATTGACAACAACCTTCCCGCGTGCCCTCCCACTACCAACAATGTCATACCCGTCCACAGCCTCCTCAAATCCAACCTCTCTCTCCACGACGGCCTTGATCCTCCCATCCGCCAGCATAGTAACAACCTCCTCCATCAAGGCCTTCCCAGGATCCATCATGGCCGTCGCAGCCCACCGCCTCCCCGTGCCGCCCAACCAAGTCGAACGGGGCCACAGCGCATTCATCTGCATCTGCCAGCCCGCCTTGACGAGAGCCCCGACGGATTGGTCAGCCGGCTTGATCCCCACAGCAGAGTACACGCCATCGGGCTTCAGATACTCCGCGCAGTGCACATAAACATCCTGCACACCAACACAATCAACAACAGCATCGAATCTTCTCCCCTCAGCCCCAAACTTCTCCCCCAACACTTTTGAGACGGGCACCGGAAGACTCGCAGTATAATCCACGACCTCGTCAGCGCCAAGCCCCAACACCGTCTCCGCGTTCCGCCTCGAACAGACGCCGACGACGTGGCCCTCCCGCCCGACGATGCCGCGCGCCATCTGCACGGCCAGAGACCCGATGCCGCCGCTGGCGCCGTTGACGAGGACCCTGTCGCCTCGCTTGAGGCTCGTCGCGCGGACGGTCACGGCGGCGGTGCAGCCTGCCGTCATGACGCAGCTCGCGTCGCGGAGGGAGACGTGGGAGGGGACAGGGACGGCGTAGCGTGCGGGCAGGAGGACGTGTTCTGCCAGGGCGCCGGTGCCGGTTGGCCAGGCGTAGGATATGGGGAGGAAGGCTGCGACGCGGTCGCCCTGTGAGAAGAAGCGGGAGGTGCTGCTCTTGACTGCTGCGGTTGTGCTTGGTTCGGCGTTGAGAGCCGACGACGTACCCACATTGGAATCGGACCCGGGAACGGACCCGGGAACGGATTCGGGGCTCCACACATCCGTTACGGTCCCGCTCAAGTCCCAATCCGGCACCGCCGTCTTGGCGCGCACGGCGCCGGGTAGCTTGGTGATGTAGAGGTGTCCGCCCGGATTCAGAGCCGCGTGTGCGACTTTTACGAGGAGCCATTGGTTGCCGTCGGCGGCGCCGGGGACGGGTTTGGCTTTTGCGAGGAGTTGGGTTGTTGGTGGGAGGGTTGGGGTTGGTCTGGAGATGAGGGAGAGGACGGAGCGGGGGGTGCCGCGGTTGGTGAATGTCCAGGCGCGTGATGAGGCCATGTTTCTTTCAATCTAGGTAGCTGAGACTGAATTCTTGTTCGGGCGGACGAGAGCTTGGTGAGTAGAGATTTTGGTGGTATTTGGTCTTGTCAGGAGTCTAGAGATAATGTGTGTAGAGCAAAGGACTCAGAGAAAGTGATGTTTGGTTTATAAATATCACACATTCTCCGAATCTCCCTTGTCAAGTTCCAATGAGTTCTTATACGAATGCCATAACTGCACTTGGTCAAGAGTTGTCGTCAGAATCGGCGGAAGTCGGCGCTGCCTAACGGTTAAACATAACGGTCCGACGAGGGCGATCCTGCCACATTATACACTCCTAGCGAAAGGGCCAATCGCAGCCAAGTAAGAACGCCACATTTCGAAATACAAGAATAACGTTTCTTTCTTCCTTTTCTCTCCCCCGCGACCCCGACGAAAAGAGATAACTAAACGGTCGCTTGCGTGTTACCATTTAGTACTCCATCTTGCCTTCCGTACTCGTTAAGTTGAGTTGGACGCCATGACGGAGATCGTTACGATTGCTTAGAGATGATTTCGGCCGTTGGCGAGAGACCCTGCCGCCTATTCGATCAAAGAGTCGAGACTGCTCACGAGGTGTTGCAATCGAACACGAAGGGTTGCATTTTATAGTCGATCTACGGATACCTTGGACTGGCCGACTTTGATTGGCCTGCTAGCTATCGGTAGGTCAAGGGAGATGTTTTGAGAGAAGGCAAAATTCAGAATCAAGCCACAATTTGAATCCTCGGCTTTTGACGCTGCGACTAACTTCTGCACCTCTCATGCTATAATATGCTCCCGGACTAGGATTGTAGTTTCGGGTATTTTTCTGGGCAGGCTGGAACACCAACAGTGGTCGTCGGAAGAAAGTTGGCCAGGTAGCATCGGTATCAGGACACTGCGTTCAACGTAACACTGGTCCCAGCTGAGATTCAGATTCGAGTGACTACTGTGTAGACGAGATCCAGTGTCACGAGCCCAAGTTCAATGTTGTGGCCATGCATGGCTATACCTTGGGCGGTGGATGGTGATGTTTTGCAATGTAGAGATTGCTAGGTGTGGCAAATGAAGTCTGTAGCATTTGAATCAATTTATCGGCACATCCACGGCAAGTCTACCAAGTGATTGGGAATTGGAAAAAAAGGGTCTATCCGAACTGAAAACATGCGACCACAAACACAACCAAAAAAGACGCGACGTGCAGCTGACACTTTTTCTTTGAGCTGAATGAGTCGCCAGTTTGCCAGGTTCATCGCATTGAACCGCGTGGCACGGGCGACGTCTCACTGGCCTCACTGGCAGTCACGACTCATCACCAGTTGGGAGGAGTGGGACGATTTGTCTCGACACCGTTCGGGTCAATCCCCGCCCTGAATGGGAAAGTCTGGTCTGGTCTGGTGGGCTGTGTGGCACAGCGGCACCGGCACCAAAGGGCGGCATGGGCGTGGGAAGTGGAGAGGGAAGACATTTTGTGAACTTTTGGGGCGTCGAAAGCGAATTTCCCACCCAATGACAGTCTTGCCGCAGCTTAGTGGCCCCTCCCCTCCCCTGGGGAAAGAAGACCGGCGACTTGAGCTGAGAGTCCAGTCCAGCCGTAGACTGAGGGGTCCCTTGGGTGGCCAAAGGGGGCCAAGACTTTGGGATGCAGAATTCGGGGCCTGGAACCTTGTCGTGCCTGTCACGCTTGTCCACCGGAAAGCCAAAATAACCACCACCACCCAAAAGCCAAGGGCAATTTATCCCTGGTGTGTCTGCCTGCCTACCCAGGTGCCCAGGAACGCATACGGCCGTCGGCAACACACCACCATTCCTTTCTGTCTTTCCCATCCCCTCACGACTCTCGTTTTTTTCTTGTTACCTGGCTGGCTGTTGTTGTTTTCGTCTTTGCTGCTGTTGGAGGATTTGTCTACGCCTTGGCCGCCCGCATCAATCCTACCATCGAGACCATTCACCAGGCATCTCATATCGAAAACCACCGACCTACCTCTTCTTCCCCACGACAACACCACAGCACCATTCCCTCAAGATGTCGATGCCAGGCGCCTTCTCTCCCGATCTGTCACCCTACGAACCAGACTCCAAGAAGGACAATGTTTCCGCTGCCGCCGCCGCCAACCCGCCACCTCTCCGTCTAAACCAACCCTCCGACGCCTTCTCCCTCCACACAAACGATCCCTACTACGACGACATCGCCACAGCCTCGTCTTCCAACGCCGGCGACCTGCCTCCGTCCTACACTGACGAGCCCTCGTCGCTCGACCCCAAGCACAACATAACTACCACCGTGACCCCGCTCCTGGCAGACGAGTCCGGCCACTCCCCGCTTCTCTTCCGCAGGGACCCCGAAACCGGTGCCGAAATCCACTGCTCACGCCGCCTCGACACCGACCCGGCCTTTCTCGAGTCCCACATCACATCTCTCGCCCAGTCGCCACCGAGACCCTACCTGCGCGTCCGCGGCACCCACACCGAGAGCATCCGCAAGCGCGACGACAAGACGGAGAGCAAGACCGTCGTCGACTTTGACGTCCGCGTCGAGCTCACCCCCTACCTCTACCGCGATATCGCCACCCGCCGCTCCTGGCGTGAGCTTCGCACCGCAGACAACTTTTCAAAGGTCCGCCGCGGAACCGTCTTCCCCACACGTGCCCCAGGCTTCGGCGGCAGGTCTTCGGGTGCTCGAGGCGGCGCCGCCGGCGAGGAGGTGAGCAAGGAGCCGCCCACGCTGCGGGAGTGGTGCCACCGCTACTGCGCCTCGCACGCGGGCCTCAAGACCTTTTCACTCCTGCGCACCGTGCCGGGGTTCGACGACGACGAGCGCCTCAAGGCCCGTCTCGAGGACCTCGTTCGCGCCACAAACTACCGCGGCCGCATCGACGTCTCCTTCCCCGTCCACGACAGCACGGTCGAGATTTACAACACGTGCCGCGTGAACCGCTGGCGCCAGACCATCTGGATCCGCTGGCTGTTTTACCTGACCTTCCTCTGGATCTTTGCGTGGCCCTACCTCTTCTTCCGCACCAAGCGCTTCGAGGTCGTCGAGGCCGAGTGGGCGTTTTCCAGACGCCGCAGAGATCCCCAGACGGGTGCGGCGCGCGGAAGGGAGTACGTCAGCCTGTCCGAGGTGGACCTGTACAACATGTGGGCGCGGGCCATCTCCAAGGCCGTGCTGGAGAGGAGGCAGGGCGAGCTGGACCAGCGCGACCTGCGAGATGCCGAGGGGAGACAGGACACGAGCTTCGAAGACGTCCTCGCGGGGATCGATCAGGAGACGACGAGAGGGCTCGTGAGGGCTGGTGTTAGTGCTATGAATGTTGTCAATCGGCACTTTGGATGGGGAGAGGATCGTTGATCTTTGGTCTCGCTCGAGCACAGCATGCTTTTTCATTTCCTCGTTCATTGGCTGTTTTGTTCATCGACTTTTGGTTTCGTTCCCTCGGCTGGGTTACTTTGCTCGTTTTCCTGTCGTTTTCCATTTGCTCAAGGCTGGAAGTGCGGGTGTTTTGCTTTCTTGTTTTTTTTTCTTTTCCTGCATTGCCTCGTAATGATTCCCAGACTGTGACGCATCATGATTCTTTCTTTGCCCTTTTGGTTCGGGAATACCACTGTTTTGGCATAGGTAGCGAGGGTTCAGAGTACTTACGAAAAGCACAGCATGATATATATATTCATACGTACTACCCAATCAAGATGAATTGCTAGCAAATATGATTTCCAATATTTGTGCATTGGGTGATGTGCAAAGCTGCGTCTGTTGGGAAGAAAAAGAAGCAGAGAAGGTTCATGTGTAAGAAGGAGGAGGAGGAGAAGGAGAAGGAGGGAAACATCATGTTGCACCCGAAGCTTCCGTCCCATGTCTCACAAGCGGACTGGACCCCTTCCGCTTCGTGTAAGCACGCTCGAGCATCGTTAGGGTCTAGCTCCGTCCGGAAGGCACGGGCGACCGAGAGTAGTTTTTTTTGGCAAAGGTCACCTACCAATTGGACGAGTATGTACGGACCGTCCGCACAGAGTTAGGTAATCTGGACCCTGCGCCGACGGAACCCCGCCGTTTTGTGGTGCCCCGCCATCCCACCTCACCTCAGTCAATCTCATTGCGCCTGAACGTTCAAAAGCTCAAACACTCGCAGAGCTCGCCAAGTTTGTTTACCAACGTCGTGTCGTTCAACGTTCCATCCTCTTCAACAACAAGAACGCCTTGAATACGCAGAAATCAAGATCTACCAACAACATCGAGAAAAGAAGGAAAGGTGACAGAGTTATGGAAGTCAAGAATCCGCGCCGGGTGTTGGCGGTCTCGCTTGCGGACTCGACGCAGCATTTGAGTAGAGTCATTAAAGGTTGGTAAAAACGGCACTCTCTATTTTTCTCCTGTTCGTTTACATGAGCCTTGGCATCTGGCTATTGCATCCTCAAACAGAAGCTCTTGACCTCATGTATCTCATGCTCATGAGATGAAAGGGGAATGAAGCCCGCATCACATGAGAAACTACGCAACGGCATCCTCATGATCTCTCCGCAACTCGTCATATTGCAAACTTTCCGCGCACTCTCACTAGATGCCAACACTTTGTGGAAGAGTATCGTACTAACGCCGGAAGGGTAGACCTCACGGGCACCCACCCAGAACCGGCATCCACAACCCTCGCGGGCACAACGCACATCCTCCCCATCAAGACGAGCTACTACACCGCCGACGTGCCCATCTGGCTGGACCTCGTCGACTCCCCGGCCGAGTGGTCCGCCTCCTTTCTCTCGCCCGAGGCCAAGGAGGTCCTCACCGTGCTGGGCGGGCTGGCTGTTGTTTTTGCGCTGCCTTCTTCTCCTTCATCATCGTCTTCGACATCAGCCCCGTTACCGGCAGATGGTACCACCCCTGCGCCAGCATCAGTAACAGCACCGGCAACGACCCCCCAGCCCTCGCCAGAGGACACCCGCGCGTTCATCACCGAGGTCGGGAGGGTCGTTCGCGAAGGGCTCGGCGGGTGGGGATGGGACGGCGTCGGGTTGGGCATCGGCGTCGGGGATGAGACGGCGGACGAGTGGGAGGATCTCTGCGCTGAGTGGGGACTCGAGTTTGTGCAGGTTCGTGGGGGTAAGAAGGATGATGGCCGGAACGAGTTTGGAGGTTCGTCACATCCCCTTTCTTGTCTCTTCTTTTCCGTTTCTGCCCTTGGCTCTCTCTCTTGCTTCGGATCATTCAGTCTGCGGTTCATACCCCTGAGCCGTGATTCAACACTTGAGGGCCGTTTTGGGAGGAAGGGGCCATGGGAGAGTAGAGCACCTTTGTCCCGGAACCTACCCCTATTCGGCACAACATAAAAGGTCCGTCCATGCTGACATCCCTTTGCCAGAGAAAATGGGCATAGCAAGAGTCCTCGAAGCCCTCGAATCCAACGACTGGGACGCCGCAGACGACATGGACAGCCCATCAGACCTCGATTCGGACCTCGACACCGCCGCCGGTGATTTACCCAGGAAACCCAGACCTCTAGCAGGCGGCACCGGCAACGACGACGACGGCGACGACAACGACGATTTCGACCTCGACGACCCAGAGAACCTGGATTTCGGCTTCGACAGAGCGGATTTCGAAGGGCTGAAGAAGGCGATTTGGAATCTCGAGCAGGGGCTGGAGGATGAGGATGAAGTAGTAGAAGGGGGAGCGGCGGACACGGCAAAAGCAGCGAGTGGAAGCGCGGGAGGCGCTGCTACCACCGAGAAACCGGACTCGGCGAAGACGACGCAAGAGAAGAAGGCCGAGGACGCTGAAAAAGAGGACCTGGACGCCGAGGACGTGGAAAAGATTGAGCAGATGATGCGCAAGTTGCAGGCTGTCCGGGACCTCAGCGCGGGGCTGCCCGAGGACCAGAGGCGGAGGATGGCGAAGAAGGCTGTTGGGGAGGTGATGAAGGAGCTTTGAAAGGGGGGGCTGTAGACGAATGCGCTTCTGGCTCCTCTGATCTGGTCTGGTTTCGGGGGTTGGGCCGTTGATGTTTGGTCAGTCGTGTAATCATGACAGCTGCGCAGACTTCATGTCACTGGAAACAAAACACAAAAGGAAACACCTCTGAGATGGAGGCGGGATTGGAGAAATGGCTTGTTGGACGGCTCGCTCTGGGAGCGGGTTTTTCTTTCGCGAGCAGTTCAAGAGCATAGCCTGTTCGCCTTCCCTTGGGCGGAAACAGTGATGGGAAAGAAATGAACTGGCTGGAACTTTGAACACCCCAAGTCCCATCTCCCAGAAATCTCGTCGACAGAAAGTTTGTACTTGGGGTGGTCTCGGAACCAAGGTCACGGTTCTTGTGTACTATGCAGACGAGAGAGAGAGAGAGAGGAAGAGGGACCCTCGGATTGGAAGTCAAAGGCAGCAGTATCAACCTTCAAACCAGAGCTATCTGCTCCCGCCATTACTTGAGAGAGTGGGAAAGGTGGCGTAACGGCATAGATACCCAGGCATGTCAGGTCTGAATAGCACAGAGAAAAGTAAAAAAAAAAAAAAAAAAGGTCGAGAAAAATCGATCTCGTCTTCCATATGAAGCAGGAGTATTCGACTTTGGAGGACTCCTTTCCCCTAGTGATGCCTCACCACCTATAGGCCGTAAGCCCAGCCTCTCATAACCCAGACTGCCTACCTCAAGGTTCTGTAGATAATGCGCTGATGATTCCGATGTTTAGTCAGTCATGATAATCCTTTGGTCCATGCAACTGAGCAAATAGTATACCTGAAGCAGTGTGACAGACGCAGGAGGCCATTCGGCTAGGTACTGACATGCAAAGCAATTGGCGTCAGAGTCGACCACTCACAACGCAGTATGAAGATGTCACAAAGGCAATCGTAGTCCCTCCCATCTTCTTAAATCCCAGATAGGCTTATTGATCTATAGGGCGACACAAATCGGCCCATATATGAATACGGCATCAGCTCTACACAACCCGAGAGGCTCGATATACAGCCAACGATATGTTGCGTCTGCACTCCCCGACTGTCCAAATCCACTCAATTTTCTCCCTGTCGTGGGGCCTTGCAACGTCCATCTTCAACCAACTAGCGAAGAGCCTGTCTGGAGGCATTCGTCGTGGTATTAAGCCGTAGCCCGTGAAGTTGCAAGTGACCATGCTGAAAACATTACGGAGCAACAACGAACGTCAGCCATTACATCCAAAAGGGGCACCACATAGGGGTAAAGTCTCCAGAAACGTGGCTTTCTGCCGATCTCCCGTGAGCAGACAAAGTGAAGGCTATCCAGAAGACGTAGATCCTGGGATTTTCTAGCAAAATGCTGCCCCGGCTGTGTATGCTCAAGTTGGCATATTCCATGAATCACCAGGCCTCTCCTATTCCTTCCAGTCTTCGACACGCCGCGTGGCATGCATAGAGTGTTGCTTCTTAGTGCGAAAACGGTCCCATTTCAATATCTTGCGCAAGCTGACCCGTTTTGGGCCAAGGGAAAACCGAGGGCGTGGTTAAGCAGACATATAGGTTTGCTTTAGACGGCTTGGAAATATAAAGTGAACCCACTCGAATTGAGCAGTTCGGACGGCGGGCGAACGAAGCAGGGAATCCATTAGTATCATGCGGCAAGGCTAGTTAGTGTACCCAGTCAGTCCATAGTGCCAAAGGTCGTTCGTCACTTGGGTTATGCTTCGGGGACGCTCCGCGCTTGAGTTTACCTATACCGAGTCATGGAAAGAAGCCCTCGGTAGGTCTTGTCAATCGCCGAGAAGCTGGATCAACCCGGGAGAATAGATTGATCCGAACAATTCGACGGTCAAGTCCCGTCTCGGGGTCAAGCAGGTGTCAGCGGGATGCCGGCCAGGGGACCCGTCTCGGTGAGGGCCGGGGAGAACATCAGACGAACGCTAGCGTCGATCCTCTTGCAAGCCCTTGTGCGATCTCGTACAGGTGCACGACGTCGACGTCGCAGACAGACGACGAGCAGGGACAAGTCCGGCACAGCCTCTCCATATGGCCCACAGTTTGGTTCATGCCGACGTGGTTCCCCTCCTCACTCCTGTCCCCTCTAGAGGCCCGAGCACGCAGGTCTTTGTAGCAATAGAATGTTCTGCCGCGCATCGCCAAACAATGCGGCGGAGCAGCGTGAGCGTGCTGGAGACTGGCGTCGCATGACTGGTGGTCTTTTTTCTTTCCTTCACGAATCCTCCCTCCTCTGCCGGCGGGGAAGCTAGGCTCAATCGGAAATTTCTCAGCGATGCCTGTAATGCTTGTCGAGGAAGCGATAACCTGCTAAGTTTCAGCAAACTCGATTGGGAATGCTTGGCCCGGTATCACGGTAGTTTTGGGTACCCTGCTGCGCTGTTGGGGGCTTCGCTAGACGCTGTGTTCGTGATCGTTGGTAACCTGTAGTCGATTGCATGCCAGTATAGAGGGCATTTCGTACAGGTAGGCTGTAGCCAAGTCGATTGAGGAGAATGAATAATCGTCCGAGCTTAGTGGTGCGATGCTGTGGGATCTCGAGTTCTGCCTTACAGTCGCTAGTGTCTATCTGGATCGTTGCACAGTATCTCTCATGTAATGGGAAGTAAACAATCGTAAAATGCGCAGTGGACATGCACCATCTTGCACATGAGGCTTCAAAACATTGCAATTGGAGTAAGCAATGGCAACGCGTCAAGGCGCGTTTCTCGATGTGTTGTCGCAGCGTCGCGATGATCATTCATGCCTCGGCGGAGCCCCAGCTTTGGCAACCTGCCCATTGGTCAACTTTCGCGGAGTGATTATGCTCCGTCAGTGGTGGACATGGAGCTGAATGCAGTTGCAAGCGACACGAAGGCTCTGGGCCTTCGGACGTAGCTACGGAAGCAGAACCAGACTTTTGGGACGGTATCGATGGCAACTGACAGTTTGACAGCCATGAGCGTTTCGCGGTGTGGAAACAAAGGAACGACAAAGACTTTGAAGCACGCCATTGTCAAGCCAAGCAAAATTAGCCAACTATCGACAACACGGGCTTGATAGAGACTGTAGCCTTTTCGGTAGCCGCGGATGGTCGGCTGACGGGATTTCCGGAGCAGCAGATCTGATATATGGACCCTGTATCCGTAAAGCGTCACACGCTCTCGTGTTGCCTGGCTGTCAGTAGCCGATTTCCATGCCACCGTTTGATTCTGTGGGTTGGTGCCACCGACTTTGCGGCGGAAATGTCAGCGATACATCTCGCCTATTCCTCGCCTTGTCTACCTCTTGCGGCAATCTTGCGTATTATCCATAAAGGGTCCAGCAGCAAGAGCCGGTCTCTCAAGGGCTCCCGGCAAGCGAGGATTAACTCTGCAGGGCTCGAGATAGGGGGAGGGGCAAAGCCAAGGGAGTTGGCCAGGGATTTCGGGCTCGCAATGTTCGACGATTCTTCTGGAACGAATTCGCCAGGCTGTGAGATTGGGGTCCCCGTCCGGCGTCCGGTGATGCTAGCAGCGATGAACCCCAGACGGGCAGATTCTTTGAAGCAATGGGCAGCCCATACCGGCGACCGCGAAATCCGGACACATGCGGCGGCGGGCTGGCAACTCAAGAGGGCGATGGATGAATTCCACAGTCAGAATTGGCCCCGCCGTACTTGCGGACGACCGTCGTCGGCTTCGGTGGCTGAGTCAGTAACAGAAGTGTTTAGATTGTTTGAATCCGAGGCCAACGGCGAGTGGGCATCCAAAACGACGATCTCCCACCAACAACGCACGGAACTATGCGACGGTCGGTCGTCAATGGTCACGGCTAGACTTCCTGCCCCGTTCTCCCTTATGCGGCGAAAAAAAATAATTATCTGTATTCCGTACAAATATTCCCCCCCAGGCCCCAGGGTTCTTGGTTGACGTTTCGCGGAGGAAGCACGCTGCACAACGGCCGCGCTCCGACAGGGCTCTTGTCTGACAGTTGTTGTTGAACGGGGCCGGAGGCGGACCGGGGGCTAGGACTGGAGACACGAGCCAGAAGCGGGAAGAGAAAAGATCAGACGAAAAAGGCACGACGTATCCGCAGAATGAGGGCCCATGGGGCCAGAGAGGCGTGGAAGGCAGGGGGAACCTCAACGAAGGTCCTCTCTCAGACTCTCACCCCTCCCTTTCTCTTCCTCCAGGCTCTATGTCTGGTGATTCTGCCCTGGTTCCATGAGGGAGTCTTAAGCCCTGAGCCTTGAGATGCTGCGGTAGTGGCTCTCTTTCTAACCCGACAAGGAAATCCATCGACGATCTTTCGCCTGACCGAATTCGGCCAAGTTTCAAGCATAATGTCCAATGAGAGTGATTTGACTTTGACAGATCCCTGTTGTTCTTCTCGAGGCTGGTTGGCTGAGCCGCAGCGTCCCTGAGAAAGTTGCGAGGTACCAACATCAACGCTCAGGGGTAAAAGCGGATCCTGCTGAAGACAACTTGGAGCCCTGACACCGACTAGTTCTCAGGGACAGTCTTCCGCATTCCTTAACACTGTGATGACCTTCTCGCACTTCGCGCACCCCTTCAACAAGACCGATTCTGGAAAACGGAGCCGAACCGTCATGCATCACCGACCCAATGCCGTCCCCTATCCGTTGCTCCACGACTTTGCTTCGGCGCTGACAGCGGACTTGTCTCGTTTGAGCAAAGAAGCCTGTGGACTCTCGAGTGCGGTCTCCCTCGTTTCCATGCAGGATGAAGTCAAACTCTATGCTTCGTCGTTCGGAACACTTGAAACGAAGCTACTTGGTTGGTTAGAGAACAACAGCATACTAACAAGACCCTCGTCAACCTTCGGGGCTTTCTTCTTTGGAGGACCACCTGGCCGGGATGAGGCGCGCCAATGCCATGAATGCAAGTGCAAGTGCAAAGGCAAATGCAGACATGGAGGTGTTATTTGACCTTGAACTTTGGACGGGCGGAGGATCCCATTGCTATTTCGGGCTTCCTGATGGTGTATGGTAGATTTGTAGCCGCCTTCACGGAGTCCGTCTGTCTTAGTGATACGCCGACGCGTGCGCGAGCATGGGACATTCCGATCGCTTGAGCTCCATTCGACAGCGCCACGCCTTCGAGGAACGATGCCGGCGGCAGCGAGCGCCAATGAGCGCTTGGGCGGAACATTTCGTCTGAAGTTTTTGTCATCTGACATTGGCAGAGCATGTCCAATGTCACCGGTTGTGATCAGACCGGGACGTCTGAGCATATTAAGAGTCAAAGCTCCGGCAGTCGCGCAACCGCAATCCATCTGCCAGCTGCTCTGTGGCCGAACTTCGTGGATGTGCTTCTCCCGAATGTAGAATATTCGTCCTCCGTCGCTGGCCGATGGAGCTCCTCCACCAATCTCGAATGGGTCACCGTAGGACGGCCGGATGGCTTGGAGCTTGAAGGTAGCTGGCCGGATGATCAAAGACAGTTAGCGCTGCGTTACAGTGTCTTCGGCGCATGTGGCACTTGGGCCATGGGATGGGTGTTCTGGCTGCATAACGCTTCTGCAGGTACGAGGTAACACAGGTTGCGTCTCCCAAAAACCAAGGCCGAAGCCGAAGGCTCCTGGAAAGCCGACGAGAGTATGTCGCTGCCTTTGGTCTAGCAACGGAGGGAGGATCGATGCGAATTCCAAGACCGTTTCGAGCTCGAACGTGAGGACAGCGAAATAAGACCAGTCGTGGGCGTTGTGTTGGATAGCATTGGTTCGTTAGATGTATACTGGAACGCTCAAAGTGTGTAAAAAGACCCTCCGTCGTGCAAAGCGATCTTTGTGATGCCCTAGTGTCTTGTCTGAGACATCCCTTTGGTTCCCGGCACTCCCACAGGAATGGCCAGGCGATCGCCCCGACGCGTTGTTTTTAGAGGTACGACGTTTCGATGTCTGTTGCAGACGCGAGACAGGGCCAAAGGGAGACGCTGAGCATGGAGCAAACATAGTTCACCTCAGACTTTTGCGCAACGATTCGTGGCGGCACCATCCCTCGGTATGACGGCCGAAGAGATTGGGTGGTATGTAGTTGGGCGGGTTGAACCTCAGCTCAGCATGGGAAGGCCCCTTTCTCGACATGTCATTTGTGGAAGTTGACGCCTGCTTACTCAGTGGTTCCAGAAGGCAACCGACGTATCTTGAGTTATGGGTGGAGGCTCTCTGGAACTGGCTTGGTCTTGATGGTCCGAGAAAGGGGACGACCTCTGGAGGCGCAAACCCCGTGCCGTTGGCGTCCCCGGCGGGATGGCCTCGAAATGACAAGAATCTCCCCAAGAGCATCGACCATGTCATAAAAGCCATCACCCCCATCGCTCGAATGAAGAACCGAGCGGGCGCAAAGGCGACGTGGAGATGGGCGTCGAGATCTGCCCCGCGGATAAGTGGACGGTCGGGGCTCCCTCGGGCGAGCAGTTTGGCGGCCAAGAGAATTGCGTAGTTCCAAGAGCCGTGAACCAACCGTCTGCCTGGGTGTGCATAGTGGGCACGCCGCTCGGGAAAGCCTGTGCTGTGACCAGTAATGAGTAAATATCCAGCTGGTCCGAGCCTATCTTGTTTAAACAGTCTTTTGAACGTTGGTCCCGGCCTAAGCCGTCAGCCAGATATTTCGTGATTGGAAAGTGCTAGGTAGGTCCAGTAAAAGAGGCTTTGCACTTTGACTGAATCATTGGTTTTCTTGTGCTGAATCAGTCAAACTCAGTATGGCGGTCTTGACTAGGAAGACCTTGTCAGCCCTCGGCGATAGGCGCTAGCGCAAGGCGTACGGGTCAAGTGAGGTTCAAAGTAGTCTTGTCTCCAGCTTGAATTCGTGATGGACCCATTCCGAGCTGGAGGCTCACAAAGCCGGGACGGCGGCGTCTGAGCGGACGCTTGACCGCCAGTCGCATACTACCGGCTGCAGAAGTCTGTGGATCAGCTATCGTCTGGCAGGTGTCTCTGTGCTGCGTGACTGTTGCGCAGAGCGGCAGGCGTCACCATATCAAGCGAGAGCGACCCTTTTTTCGCCACGGATCATTCTTGTTTAGAAGATGGAGAACGGAGCCTTGCAGATCCAAGCCTGAGGACGGAAGCTGAGGACGAACGGTGTGTGTGTATGGGCAGAACAGCAACCAGGCACCGCATGTAGCATATGTGAGGTCAGGCGGCGCAACGATCCACGACAGAAGCTGCCTAGATCGATGACTGCATGCCCTGGACAATGATTGATGGCCGTCGATTCGATTCGACGAAACCTTGTGTGCTATTTCGAGAGGTGCCTGGTTGCCATGGCGGGTTTGTATGGTTTCGTTTGGAGTCGTCTGTGACACAGCTTGTCAGGATGCAGTCGACAACATCTGGCGGATCATTGTGTACCTGACACGGCTTGTGTGAGGAGGACGCGTCTTGGGGGCGAGGGGATAGCGTGAATGTCGGGCGAGGAGGGCGAGGAGGGGGAGCATGGATCGCCAGGAACAGGGACAATACCGGACGAAAGAGACGTCAGGTACGACACAGTGTGGGAGCAAATGGTCGAAGACGAGCCAGCGATGTGACGCTGGAATATGTGGCTTATCCCAGTTGCGAGTGGTGCATTGTGAATGCAGTGCAGCAGTGCAGCAGTGTAGTGCAGTGATGCCAACCGTGATCGACCGGCGCCAGCAAAAGACGCCCTCGACCTGCAGTATGATGCAGGTTGACAGGACCATGTTGAAAGTTCACGCTGCAACCGCATGGAGATCTGACTTGGAGACTTGGAGCGAGAGAGAAAGAGGGTGGATGGAAATCAACCTGAGGTTCCAATCGGGAAAAGACTGGATGAACGACGTGAGCAGGGGTCAGGGAGCGACGTTTCTAAGGTGGGACATAGGTATCCAGCGTACCTTCCTCCGTTCGGGTACCTTACAGCTAGTGGCTCTTTCCTTAGGTTTGGTGCAAGTGCGACTGGCAAGTGCAACGGAAGGCGGAGAAGCCGCGCACTGTGAACAAACCGTTGCGGGTCTTTTTTGGTTGAGGGGCTCGAAGTATTCGTCAGAGAACCTAAGCATCCCTGCCACCGTCTCGCGGACGTAAGACTGACGGGACAGTTTGGGCCGACTAGGCCTGCCGTTTTGCCCGCACATGACGAGTCTGGTTCTGGGTACACAGTAGGATGGATATCTTGGCTCCAGGAACGTTGTCTAAGCTCACCAAGGTGGTGGGCGATCCCTGGTAACTCGACATGGGAAGATAGACAGCCCAGAAGGGCAAACGGATGGAAAATGCGGGAAGGGATGGAGTAGGAGGGACGCGACAGATTGGCGGGATAAGGTGTCATGATAATGCATAACAAAACACATTATAGCACCCTCCCCTACCCGTGCCTGGATGTCGGGACGAGATAACGGCTGGGATTCGGGGACTTTAGACTTTGGATGATCTTGACGTCGGAGGATTGGAGGATGTCTGGCTGGACTGGTTGGTATTGATTCTCGAACAACCAAAGAGCCAGCATCCGTATCGCTATCCGTAACACAAGGTGCGGATGTCTGTGAGAATTCAGAGGGGGAACGGATACATAGGTAGGTACGGAAACAAGCCCCTGTTCAAACAGCACCGATAAGACGGTCGTGGCTTTGCGGCTGCGAGACTTCCAGGTTTGGCGTTGTTTGGTACGGAATATGGAGTGCGGCTGCATCTTTCGCATGACAACAGCCCCGAACCGAGTGATTCAAAAACAAGATGCCCGCTGACTCCGCTTGGAGTTGTTCGTGTCGTCTACGTACGATTCCGTCCATTGCAAGTTTAGAACACAAATTCCACTTCTCTTTGTTCTCTGGGCCAAGACATGTTTCCATTCGTTCCTTGCATCCCCTTTTTCGAGCTGCCGTCCGACGTGTCTGCTGATGGATGTCTGCATTATGGATTCAAAGTACCTACCTTGTCAGTTACCCCTGTGCCTGAGGACCGGACCAAAAAGATGGACCCCGCCCATGCCTCTGTGCTTCACTGCTTGCTCCGTTCCGGGCCCACACAGTCTCATCAGCCACAGTCACAGCCAGACGTGTACGTACCTGCGCATGCACAATATGGAGTACGTACTCCATAGACGTGGACTTTCCTTTCCAAGTCATGCTTGACGGGAACCTCCTTGGACCTTCCGTTCATCGTCCCACCGTCCGGCTCTTATGCCTCCCTTTCCCGGCAGAATGCCAGAATCGACAGGACCAAGCCTCGAGGCCGAGCCTTCCAGGGCGATCAACAACGGAGCGAGGATGCGGGCGGTGGAGGTTGACCACTGACAGCCAGACAGCGTGAGTCTTGAGGGAGATCCGCACTCGCCTCCACAGATGTTGATGCAGCGCGCATCAGACACCGGCCGCGAATTTCTCTTACGGCCCCCAAAAAGGATGGAGACTCTTTCGTCCGTCTCCCCTCACTTACCGCGCAAGGTACGGCCATTTTGGCGGAAAGCGCGACACATTCTGCGAGTATCTTGCTCTGCTTCAATCCCCGGCCGTGGCTCATGCTTCGCGACCCACGGCGTCTGGCGTTGCGTTGGACGAGAGTCACAAGACGGTGAGGACGAAAAGGATAGGCGACACTATTTGTACCGAGTACCCATAGCGGGCAGCGATCTAGAGACTGGGCCGGATGATGCGCGCTCTCACCCGTTACCTCATGCTTATGCGGCATCTTTCGAGCCGCAAAACACGTGGTAGTGTCTGTCTACCTACAGAGGAGACGGATACTCTTTAGTTGATACTAGCCACTAAGGTAGCCTGGCATCGGACACGAGGTAGGAAAGGATGGACGATTTTTGATAATCAGAGCCTGAGGATGTGTTCGTGTAAGTACTGCGTAGGCATGATGCTGAGTGTCTATCGGCGTCCAGGTGGTGGACGGATGCCGCGCGATTCGATTCAATGCGTCCATCGGGCGCGACGCCGCGAAGCCAACAATAGAGAGCGAAAGGTACTCTGGCACTTGCCGGTCTCCCTTTTGGCCTCCCGCTTGCTGGGATAGGCCTCCCTTTTGTCGTGTTTGGTCTCTCCTCGGCCGCTGCATGTTTCTGCTCCCCCACCTTTCCCTCAATGGCCACTGGGTACAAGAAAGCAGTCCAGCATCAACAGGGCAAGGAACTGCAGCAACGAGCAGGGCCATGATCCATGGCGGGTGCGATGGTGCACCTCCTATCAGCAGCCCCGATGGACCAACGGCGGCGCGCGGCGTTGCGGCGGTGTGTAGTCATTCTGGTGTGGGAGAGCGGAGAGGGAACGAGGCTGGTCTGGCTGGTTTGGCTGGTCTGGATCTGGATTGGGGGATGCATGATGTGAGGCGCAGGACGCAGGAACCGGTCAACAACGCATACTCGCATGCACACACGAGGTGCACAATTATCAGGTCGAAGACGCCCACGCAGAACGGAGTACGAATAGAAGCAAGATGGGCGAGCAGTCTACAAAAGACGGGACGGATGGAGGAGGCTAAGAACAGCTATGCAGGAGAAGGAGAGGAAGAGACAAAGTGGAAGCGAGAGAGAAGGTCAGAAAAGGCTAAACGGGGGGAAGAAGCCGCTAAAGCCACTTGAGGCAAGGTTTACCAGCTTGGGACAGGTTCCGTTCATCGGCGGCAGGTACGAACGGTAAAGTGGCTTTTGTCGACAAATGAGAGAAGGCGCGTACCTGGCACTACCCCTGTGCACCCAGTCATTGTATGTACACTAGCCACTGGCCGCTGGTTGCTGGTGGTGTCGCCC